TAAAAACATCAAATAATATGAAAGTAGAAAATAAATTTTATTTTTCGAGTGAACAATAAAAATGCCTCAAAATTCTGTTATTAAAGTCAATACAAAAAATTCTTTGCTTTCGGTTATAAAAGTTTTCTGTCTATTGATTTATAAGAGATATGATTCGTCTCATCGTAAAAGTATTTCACGATTTTATTGTTGGCATTAATTAAAGTTAAAAGTTTTTATTATTATATTTTTTCATCTGTTTTGCTGATCATATTTATGACGGAGAGAGAGAGAGAGAGAGAGAGAGAGAGAGAGAGAGATTTAGTCCATTTACCAAAATTGTGTCACAATATTATGTGAACGACAGATGCTTTTATAGCAAAAAATTATTTTAAAATTTTAACTTTATATTTGAGAGAGAGAGAGAGAGAGAGAGAGAGCGAATGTGTCGAGTCTTATAAGAATATTTCACATTTACGGCCGTCTTATCGTAAATGACAGGAAGTTTTTGCATATTTTGTTATGAAAAATATGAATACAATATACAAGTTATTATTATGTGAACGACAGATGCTTTTATAGCAAAAATTATTTTAAAATTTTAACTTTATATTTGAGAGAGAGAGAGATTTAGTCCATTTACCAAAATTGTGTCACAATATTATGTGAACGACAGATGCTTTTATAGCAAAAATTATTTTAAAATTTTAACTTTATATTTGAGAGAGAGAGAGAGCTATAATATTTAATAAAATTCTGTGCCTGTAGTAAAAATCGTTTGATTTTTTAGTATTATTTATCGAAAATCTATTATCAATCTATTGAAGCCCTTGACTGGATTATTGTGTGACTATTCTATTAGCCATTCTCTGTCTGAAGCGCTGATAATACAGAATATTCTTGTCATGGAATTCACGTGAATATAATATCGATTATAAATACAGTGAATTTTGTTCACAACAGAATATTCTATACATTGAGTGTATATACATGTATATAAAGTATATCGGAGTTCATATTGAATACATCTATAGTGAGAGAAGACTCCCAACCGACACAATAAACTACAGTATTTGCAGAAAGACATTGAATTCTTACACAATATTAAACATTTTGTAAAAAGAAATTTTCATTTTTAAAAGCAATAGTTTTTAAAGGAAATAAATGATTACTTTTTGCAACAGAAATACAAATAATGTACTCTTAACGACTCTTAGAACAAAAAAACACGGTTTTTATTAAAAAACATTATAAAATACTTGTTTAGCTATCATTTATAAGTAAATGTATTATGTAGTTAAAATACTGAGAGAGAGAGAGAGAGAGAGTCTCTCTCTCTCTCTCTTCATTTCTGAAGTCACTTAAAACTAAACGAAAAATGCAAAAAATATATATAAATTTTCAACAAATATTAAAACCTTTTATATTTATACAAATATTGTTTGTTATATTTTTCCAAAACAATTTTTCTGGTGACTTGAGAGACAAATATATCATTTATTATAAAACTCATGCTTAGCTTTCACTACAAATTATTTCGACAATTTATTTGCAGTGAAAATAAATTCATAAAAACAGATCCAAAACTATTTCGCATCTCTCTCTCTCTCTCTCTCTCTCTCTCTTATTCATTCGTTATGCTTATCCTTTCCTATCAATCGTGAATTATTCTGGGTTTTTTAGTAATATAATATACATTAGAGGCTAGCGAACATACGGAAAACGTTAACGGTAGGTTTAACTAACCTGAGAAGAAAGAATGTGTAGGGAAGGGAAGTGACGAGAAAGCAATTGGCATTTGACGTCTCCTTAAGACTATTTGATGACAACTTGTCGTCGACTCGTGTTTTGAGAAACCAAATGAATGAAATTTTCTCAATTATAGCCAAATATATACTCCTATTTCTATCTATATATAGATATATTGTATATAATCCCCTATTTCTCGCTCTTTGCGTTTCTTTTGCAGAAATATTAACATTTTGTCATTTGATTTACAAAACACTATTATATTGTGTGACATTATTTTTCTTATTGACTTTTCATGTAATTTCTATACTATATTTTTTACTGTGTTCTTCGTGTGAATCTCTTACCAATCGATACATTTTGTTTTCCGATTTTTATTACAGTATACATGAATTCAAATCTCTCTCTCTCTCCTCTCCGTCATAAATATGATCAGCAAAACGGATGAAAAAATATAATAATAAAAACTTTTAACTTTAATTAATGCCAACAAAAAAAATCGTGAAATACTTTTACGATGAGACGAATCATATCTCTTATAAATCAATAGACGGAAAACTTTTATAACCGAAAGCAAAGAATTTTTTGTATTGACTTTAATAACAGAATTTTGAGGCATTTTTATTGTTCACTCGAAAAATAAAATTTATTTTCTACTTTCATATTATTTGATGTTTTTAATGATATTTGAAGAGAATAGACAAATAGTAAGAGAAAAAACTTTTAACACAATTTTCAATCATTTTTCATCTCAAGACTAGTCCATCGCATGACTTGAATTCAAGTGTCGGAAACAAAACACATAACAAAATA